TCTCCATGCCCTCCCTGGCCCTTCAGGATTTAGGAGATCATGGCTCTCCATGCCCTCCCTGGCCCTTCAGGACAGGAGATCATGGCTCTCCATGCCCTCCTGTCCCTTCAGGGAAAAATGGTCCTCCATGACCTCCTGGCCCTTCAGGACGTGGACATGGCTCTCCATGCCCTTCTGGCCCTTTTTATGGGAGATCATGGCTCTCCATGCCCTCCTGGCCCTTCAGGAAGGAGATCATGGCTCTCCATGCCCTCCTGGCCCTTCAGGATGTAGGAGATCATGGCTCTCCATGCCCTCCTGTCCCTTCAGGATGTAGGAAATCATGGGTCCATGACCTCCTGGCCCTTCAGGGATGGGGAGATCATGGCTCTCCATGCCCTCCTGGCCCTTCAGAACGTAGGAGATCATGGCTCTCCATGCCCTCCTGGCCCTTCAGGATGTAGGAGATCATGGCTCTCCATGCCCTCCTGGCCCTTCAGGATGTAGGAGATCATGGCTCTCCATGCCCTCCTGGCCCTTCAGGATGTAGGGAGATCATGGCTCTCCATGCCCTCCTGTCCCTTCAGGAGAAATCATGTCCTCCATGACCTCCTGGCCCTTCAGGACATGGAGATCATGGCTCTCCATGCCCTCCTGGCCCTTCAGAACATGGGAGATCATGGCTCTCATGCCCTCCTGGCCCTTCAGAACGTGGGAGATCATGGCTCTCCCATGCCCTCCTGGCCCTTCAGGATGTAGGAGATCATGGTCCTCCATGCCCTCCTGGACCTTCCAGAATGGGAGATCATGGCTCTCCATGCCCTCCTGTCCCTTCAGGATGTGGGAGATCATGGTCCTCCATGACCTCCTGGCCCTTCAGGACGTAGGAGATCATGGCTCTCCATGCCCTCCTGGCCCTTCAGGATGTAGGAGATCATGGCTCTCCATGCCCTCCTGTCCCTTCAGGATGTAGGAAATCATGGTCCTCCATGACCTCCTGGCCCTTCAGGACGTAGGAGATCATGGCTCTCCATGCCCTCCTGGCCCTTCAGAACGTAGGAGATCATGGCTCTCCATGCCCTCCTGGCCCTTCAGGATGTAGGAGATCATGGTCCTCCATGCCCTCCTGGACCTTCAGAACGTAGGAGATCATGGCTCTCCATGCCCTCCTGTCCCTTCAGGATGTAGGAGATCATGGTCCTCCATGACCTCCTGGCCCTTCAGGACGTAGGAGATCATGGCTCTCCATGCCCTCCTGGCCCTTCAGGACGTAGGAGATCATGGTTCTCCATGCCCTCTTGTCTCTTCATGACGTTGTAGATCGTGGCTCACCATGCCCTCCTGGCCCTTAAGGACGTAGAAGATCATGGCTCTCCATACCCTCCTGTCATTTCATGACGTTGGAGATCATGGCTCTTCACGTCCTCCTGTCCCTTCATGACGTTGGAGATCATAGTTCTCCATGCCCTCCTGTCCCTTCAGTCCGTAGGAGAGCATGGTCCTCCATGCCCTCCTGTCCCTTCAGGACGTTGGAGATCATGGTTCTCCATGCCCTTTTGTCCCTTCAGGACGTTGGTAATCATGGCTCTCCATGCCCTCCTGTCCCTTGTTGCTCTTAATAAGTTTTGTCTTTTTCTTAATTCTCCCAGACCCCTTTTCGCCATCCATTTGCTCAAACCCATCAAGTATATTACGCGCTGCTTTCCTCTGTGTCTCTGTCCCTCAATATGTCCTGTGAGTATCAGATTTTCCAAGCCCTCCTTCCTCATTACGTGCCCCATAAATTTCTGCTGCGTCTTTGTGATGCTAAGTATACATTGCCTAAAATGTGCGCGGAGGTCCCGTCAGATGAACGCCACGTGGCAACCATTCCTCTGTTAAAAAAGACACAACGTGGAACCATTTGCCAAAAAAAAAAATAGACATAGATCAAATAAAATAAAATTTATTTCCTTTTCTTTAATAAGTAAAGAAAATCTCTTACCGTAAAAAAAAAAAAAAAAAAAAAAAACGAATTTCCGTTCGTTGCTTAAAAAATATTACATCAACAAAAAGTATGTGAATATATTAGTTTTTTATTTTACGACTCATAAAGTACCGTACTTTATTATTTTTTTTTTGGTATCCAGCTGTGTGCGCGTGTGTATAATAATACGAGCCTTCGTACATTAATTGCTTTTATGAATGATATTATGGACACTATTATATTAAGGAAAAGATTTTTCAATGAATAATTAATTTTTACAAGAATTCTTATCATTTCTTAAAAGATTTTAAGTAAAATAATTTATGAATCTGTCTATATTTCTGAGATGAGGTATTATGTAAACTATTTACATTATTCGGACTATTGTCCTCATCTTTGTCGCCATATTTATTACAACATTTCGGCCTTTCAGTATCTGTCTATATTTCTGAGATGAGGTATTATGTACACTATTTACATTGTTCCGACTATTGTCCTCATCTTTATTGCCATATTTATTACAACGTTTCGGCCTTTCAGTATCTGTCTATATTTCTGAGATGAGGTATTATGTACACTATTTACATTATTTGGACTATTGTCCTCATCTTTGTAGCTATATTTATTACAACGTTTCGGCCTTTCAGTATATGTCTATATTTCTTAGATGAGGTATTATGTACACTATTTACATTATTCGGACTATTGTCCTCATCTTTGTTGCCATATTTATTACAACGTTTCGAACGTTGTACGCTCTGGCCTTCTTCAGGTTGTTGGAATGACGAACTGAACCCTTTATTTCGCTCAATGGGGTAGACTATTCTAGTTTCACGTGCCATGTTTAATGGATGTAGGTTATCAGTAATCTCCAGAACTTTCAGAGGGAAATTAACAGGAGATAATTGATCTCTTGCAACAAGTCTTTTCTTCATCTTTGGGGAGATTGTCCAGCATTCACTGCCATATAGAAGGACAGATATCACGTAACAGTTCAGTACTGTTTTCTTTGTTTCTATTGCTTCAAGTCTCTTCTTCATCTTTGGGGAGATTGTCCAGTATTCACTGCCATATAGGAGGACAGATATCACGTAACAGTTCAGTACTCTTTTCTTTGTTTCTATTGCTTCAAGTCTCTTCTTCATCTTTGAGGAGATTGTCCAGCATTCACTGCCATATAGGAGGACAGATATCACGTAACAGTTCAATACTCTTTTCTTTGTTTCTCTTGCTTCAAATCTCTTCTTCATCTTTGGGGAGATTGTCCAGCATTCACTGCCATATAGGAGGACAGATATCACGTAACAGTTCAGTAGACTTTTCTTTGTTTCTCTTGCTTCAAGTCTCTTCTTCATCTTTGGGGAGATTGTCCAGCATTCACTGCCATATAGAAGGACAGATATCACGTAACAGTTCAGTACTCTTTTCTTTGTTTCTCTTGCTTCAAGTCTCTTCTTCATATTTGAGGAGATTGTCCAGCATTCACTGCCATATAGGAGGACAGATATCACGTAACAGTTCAGTACACTTTTCTTTGTTTCTATTGCTTCAAGTCTCTTCTTCATCTTTGAGGAGATTGTCCAGCATTCACTGCCATATAGGAGGACAGATATCACGTAACAGTTCAGTACTCTTTTCTTTGTTTCGCTTGCTTCAAGTCTCTTCTTCATCTTTGAGGAGATTGTCCAGCATTCACTGCCATATATGAAGACATATATCATGTAACAGTTCTGTACTCTTTTCTTTGTTTTTAATGAAGTTTTCGTGTTTCTTAATACTTTGCTTAGCTTTAAGAATCCATCTTTCACTACCCAATGTGCCTTCGTCTTTCAGTGTCACCCTTTCCCTCCCCCATTAAAACACTTCCCACATATTTACATTTTTATGCCAGTTTGATTTTGGTATCTCCGATTTACGATTCGCACTTTGTCGCCATCCTTTTGATAAAAATCATGCATTCTGTCTTCTTGCAGTTGATGTTTGTCCTTTCTTCTCGCTTTCCTTCACTACCTTCTGTGAGAGTCTTTTGTACTAAACTTACCGTGGCTGCTACTAACACTGTGTCATCTGCATATTTTATGTTGTTAAGATGAGTGCCACCAATAATGAAACCTTGTAGGATTTCTAATTCTCTCAGAATCGCCCCACTGTATAGCTTGCCATACACCCCTTTCTATTGAAGGGTTGATACATAAGTCCAACGAACAGCGTCTACCCAGCTATTTAACCCATAGCTTGGTTTGGAGGAGAAGAGATGGATTTATGCGTAATGTTATTTATGCGAAAGTAAATGCAGCAGACGACCACGGAGTTTGAACCCTAAATAATTGTGTCATCAGCACAGATACCGAAAACTGATATATCAGGAACGCCGTTGATGAAAAACAGGAACAACGCCATTTAATTTAGGCAGCCATATTTACATCATTGATGCAAATGGCGGATGAGTGATACTGTATTTTATAATAACATACGATACGTAGCAGTATTATCAAATAACTACTTGCTATCGTGGGTAATCTATGGAGTTAATAGTTACAATACCTCATATCGGAAATATAGACGCACATCTATCTATATATAAAATTCTGTGAATTCTGTCACTCCGTTGGTGACACCCTCTAAAATAGCAATAAATTGACCGATCGGAACCAAATTTTGGGGAAAAGTGCAAACAGGTAAGAGGGTACAAAGTACAGTTGGTTTTACTAGTGTGCCTAGCTTATTACCCCAGTGAACTAAATAAAGGGTAAAGTACAAAATTCCAATGTATATTACCTAAAGATGGCCGAAGCGTACAACGGCCGAAACATCGTTAATATGTCAATTAAGACGAGGACAACAGTCCCAAGAGAATGCTTTCCTGATCACTACACTCTTAACCTGTTCAAGTCCCGAATTAACCGTTATTTTCCCCACATATCCGTATAAACTGAGCCTCTTACTCTGTAAGCCTCTACATAGAGTGGCTCTCGGGCCTTGCACAAAGTGAATTTCACGGCAAAAAAAATCGGAGTGCGTCAAATATATTTGCCCGCTTTTTATACTGTGAAATATGTTTGATTCTTTCTGGGCCTTGTGTCGGACTAGTGTAAGCTTAATAAATGCCCTAAAGCGATCTATCCTCTTACTTGTAAAATCCATGCAATGGTTGTCATATAAATAGGAATTAGACACATGCATATCCATTGATGTCAACATATGGCCACACAAGCAAATATATTCTTGTCATTTACGAAACTAATAAAAAAAAAAAAAGAAAATATCCCCGAGAACTAACTAAAACTGTATGCAACTGTTCGTTAGTCTCACACACCCACATTGGCGGCCATGTTAATGTGTTTTGTTAAAAACATGTGCATCTTATCTTATTAACACTATAAACCCAAGGGGTTGTGTTTTTGGGTGTGTGAGTTTTATAATGGTTTCTCCCACGAAAAACTGCTGAGACTAAGGCTTTTTTTTTTTTAAATCGCCATTTAATAAACATATTTTTTCTTTCGTTCAAAAACATTTCTTTCTTTCTTGCCGGTTTCAACTCAGCAATTTCAAATTCCTTAGTTCATTTTTCCGTCATCAGCCGAGCCAAATCGAGATTCTTTCTTTCGTTCTTTCTTTCTTTCTTTCTTTTCCAGTAATTCTTTCTTTCTTTCTTTCTTTCTTTCTTTCTTTCTTTCTTTCTTTTCCAATAATTCTTTCTTTCTTTCTTTCTTTCTTTCTTTCTTTCTTTCTTTCTGTTCCAGTAATTCTTTATTTCTGTTCCAGTAATTCTTTCTTTCTTTCTTTCTTTTTCTCTCTTTTTTCTTTCTTTTTCTCTTTCCCTCTTTCTTTCATTTCGCTTTCTTTCTTTCATTTTTCTTTCTCTTTTTCTTGCTGTCATTCTCTATTTTTCTATTTCTCTCTTTCTTTTTAAATATCTTTCTTTCTTCTTTTCTTTCTTTCTTTTTAACTTTCTTTCTTTATCTATTTCTCTCTTTCTCTTCCCTTTCTTTCTTTCCCTCTTTTTTCTTTTTTCTCTTTCTTTCTTCCTTTCTTTTCTCTTTCTTTCTTTATCTATTTCTCTCTTCCTCTTCTTTTTCTTTCTTTTCCTCTTTTTTCTCTTTCTTCCTTTCTTTCTTTCTTTTTGTCTTTCTTTCTTTGTCTATTTTTCTCTTTCTTTTTCTCTTTCTTTGTCTATTTCTCACTTACTTTTCTCTTTCTTTTCCTCTTTCTTCTTTTTCTCTTTCTTTCTTTCCCTCTTTCTTCTTTTTCTCTTTCTTTCTTTCTTCTTTCCTTGCTTTCTTTCATTCTATATTTTATTCTTTCTCTCTTTCTTTTTCACTTTCTCTCTTTCTTTTTTCTTTCTTCCTTGTTCTCTTACTTCTTTTTCTTTCTTTCTTTCTTTCTTTCTTTCTTTCTTTCTTTCTTTCTTTCTTTCTTTCTTTCTTTCTTTTGCTCTTTCTTTTCCTCTTTCTTCCTTATCTCTCTCTCTTTCTTTCTTTTTCTCTTTCTCTCTTTCTAATCTTTCTTACGATTTCTTTTACTGCCTGTCATCGCTTTGCCTTTCTTCATACTATATTTTGTTTATTTTTGTCCCTTTTTACAAACTTTAGTTTTATTTTCGCACCTATTCACCTTTTACTTCTTCCGCTGTTAGCCGACTGCATTTCTTCTTCCTCGATACGATGATGATGCATAGGATAAGAAAACCACCACCACCACCACCACCATCATCATCATCATCATCATCAGAATAATAATAATAAAGAATGGATGAATTTGAATTTTGCTGTAGAATTGATTTTGTGCAAATAAGATTGATTCTAGGATCTGCAATGATACTGGGCAAGGTGCTGAAGATCTGAGAAGACTTGCTGTGACTCTTAATGTGAATATCAAAATGCATATATTTTCCTATTTGTATTCTCTGATGAATGTTAATTCTTAATTCTTCGGGTTGAATAAGCTTACTGCGAGTTCTATGACAATAAAACAGCCGTAGAAATTGTCCTACCGCGTAGTTAAATATTTGACCTAGTGTCTCCCCACCACCTCTTTCCTTGCGGTCAAAACGAAATAGTTCATTATTTATGATTATCATTATTTATGAGATATTGACAGAACACGTTAAACACTTTTATGTTCCCTTATTTTTTCCTTTCTAGGCAAATCGCTGTCCTACGAACATTTAACTTTGGCGCCGGTGTAACGTAAATTTTCTGTGCATTTTCTATAAACTGCGAAAATTTCACGGTTTTCCTAATTATATTTTCTGATTAATCTTAATTCTTAGTTCTTAAGTTAATAAATGAATAAACACAGGGTGAGTTCTACGACAATAAAATATCCGTAGAAATTCCCCTTTCGCATCGTTAAATACTTGACCTTAATACCATTCACAAAATATTAAAATAACAATCATGAATGTGAATGTGGGTCGTTATTTTAAGAAGTAAGGGGGTACAAATGAAAATATGTAAAAATAACAACTTTTCCCATTTGACTGAAACAGACGGTAAACATTACGATCCACCCTTTTTCTTTCTTTCTTTCATTCATTTCTTCACTGAAATCAGATCGCACTTTTCCCCCTCTTTCCACGCGATCAAAACAAAATAATCCATTATTTGTGAGGTATTGGCAGGAGTCGTTAAACCCTTTGATCTTTCTTTGCTTTTCTCACTGAAACCAAGTACTTTCTTTTCCCCTCATTCCACGCGATCAAAAAAATAGTCCATTATTTGTGTGGTATTGTCAGGAGACGTTAAATACTTTGATCTTTCTTTATTGCTAAATCCCCATCTTGAGTATGTTTCTCTTAATAATATTTTTTTTAAATAATTCAGGAGCCGATGTTGTATTAAGTTTGTGGTAATTCAATTTTTGGTGATTGCTTATTCGGTTTCCGGTGTTCCATACTATGCATCTGAAAAATGTCGCTGCCTTTTTTGTTAGGGAAACTTCAAATAATTTAATCCCAGCCCCCCGAGTGCCTACCCTTCTATGTAATACCTCTCCTTCGGAAGAAAGGACCTGAGTATATCGTCCGGCGTCTGGGGCATTGACCTAAAGAGGAAGAGCCGAGAGGACTTGGGCAATTATTCAACGATATTGTTGTTAAACCCACTTCACACTGACGTTGTTTCACATTCGGTTGCGACGTCGGCGCACTGAAAAATACTCTCCCTATTTTGGCTGGGATCAAATTGTAGTATCTGTTACAAGAACTTCTCTCTCTCTCTCTCTCTCTCTCTCTCTCTCCCCTCTCCTCAGCATTTTCTTTCTCCCTCCCTTCCCTCTTTCATTTTCTTTCTGAATAAGTCCTCCTATTCCTTCTTGCTTTCAATTTCTCACTGAATAAGATTTCCTCCTAAAGAAATGGCTGAACTGTGAATCCTGGAGTGAAATGGACAATCTCCTCAAAGATGAAAAAGAGACTTGAAGCAAGAGAAACAAAGAAAAGAGTACTGAACTATTACGTGATATCTGTCCTCCTATATGGCAGTGAATGCTGGACAATCTCTCCAAAGATGAAGAAGAGACTTGAAGCAAGAGAAACAAAGAAAACAGTACTGAACTGTTACGTGATATCTGTCCTCCTATATGGCAATGAATGCTGGACAATCTCCTCAAAGATGAAGAAGAGACTTAAAGCAATAGAAACAAAGAAAAGAGTATAGAACTGTTACGTGATATCTATCCTCCTATATGGCAGTGAATGTTGGACAATCTCCCCAAAGATGAAGAAGAGACTTGAAGCAAGAGAAACAAAGAAAAGAGTACTGCACTGTTACTTGATATCTGTCCTCCTATATGGCAGTGAATGCTGGACAATCTCCTCAAAGATGAAGAAGAGAATTGAAGCAAGAGAAACAAAGAAAAGAGTACTGCACTGTTACTTGATATCTGTCCTCCTATATGGCAGTGAATGCTGGACAATCTCCTCAAAGATGAAGAAGAGACTTAAAGCAATAGAAACAAAGAAAAGAATAGAACTGTACTGAACTGTATACGTGAATATCTGTCCTCCCCAAAGATATACTTGGCAGTGAATGAACTGGACGTGAATCTCCTCAAAAGATGACAATCTCCTCAAAGAGGAAGAAGTGACTTGAAGCAAGAGAAACAAAGAAAAGAGTACTGAACTGTTACGTGATATCTGTCCTCCTATATGGCAATGAATGCTGGACAATCTCCTCAAAGATGAAGAAGAGACTTGAAGCAATAGAAACAAAGAAAAAGAGTACTGAACTGTTAGGTGATATCTGTCCTCCTATATGGCAGTGAATGCTGGACAATCTCCTCAAAGATGAAGAAGAGACTTGAAGCAAGAGAAACAAAAGAAAAGAGTATTGAACTGTTACGTGATATCTGTCCTCCTATATGGCAGTGAATGCTGGACAATCTCCCCAAAGATGAAGGAGAGACTTGAAGCAAGAGAAACAAAGAAATGTGTACTGAACAGTTACGTGATATCTGTCCTCCTATATGGCAGTGAATGCTGGACAATCTCCTCAAAGATGAAGAAGAGACTTGAAGCAAGAGTAACAAAGAAAAGAGTACTGAACTGTTAGGTGATATCTGTCCTCCTATATGGCAATGAATGCTGGACAATCTCCTCAAAGATGAAGAAGAGACTTGAAGCAATAGAAACAAAGAAAAGAGTACTGAACTGTTAGGTGATATCTGTCCTCCTATATGGCAATGAATGCTGGACAATCTCCTCAAAGATGAAGAAGAGACTTGAAGCAAGAGAAACAAAGAAAAGAGTACTGAACTGTTACGTGATATCTGTCCTCCTATATGGCAGTGAATGCTGGACAATCTCCCCAAAGATGAAGAAGAGACTTGAAGCAATAGAAACAAAGAAAAGAGTATTGAACTGTTACGTGATATCTGTCCTCCTATATGGCAGTGAATGCTGGACAATCTCCTCAAAGATGAAGAAGAGACTTCAAGCAAGAGTAACAAAGAAAAGAGTACTGAACTGTTAGGTGATATCTGTCCTCCTATATGGCAGTGAATGCTGGACAATCTCTTCACAGATGAAGAAGAGACTTGAAGCAATAGAAACAAAGAAAAGAGTATTGAACTGTTACGTGATATCTGTCTTCCTATATGGCAGTGAATGCTGGACAATCTCCCCAAAAGATGAAGAAGAGACTTGACGCAAGAGAAACAAAAAAAATGTGTACTGAACTGTTACGTGATATCTGTCCTCCTATATGGCAGTGAATGCTGGACAATCTCCTCAAAGATGAAGAAAGACTTGAAGAAAGAAAAGAGTACTGAATTGTTAGGTGATATCTGTCCTCCTATATGGCAATGAATGCTGGACAATCTCATCAAAGATGAAAAGAGACTTGAAGCAATAGAAACAAAGAAAAGAGTATTGAACTGTTACGTGATATCTGTCCTCCTATATGGCAATGAATGCTGGACAATCTCCCCAAAGATGAAGAAGAGACTTGACGCAAGAGAAACAAAGAAATGTGTACTGAACAGTTACGTGATATCTGTCCTCCTATATGGCAGTGAATGCTGGACAATCTCCTCAAAGATGAAGAAGAGACTTGAAGCAAGAGAAACAAAGAAATGTGTACTGAACTGTTACGTGATATCTGTCCTCCTATATGGCAGTGAATGCTGGACAATCTCCTCAAAGATGAAGAAGAGACTTGAAGCAAGAGTAACAAAGAAAAGAGTACTGAGCTGTTATGTGATATCTGTCCTCCTATATGGCAGTGAATACTGGACAATCTCCTCAAAGATGAAGAAGAGACTTGAAGCAAGAGAAACAAAGAAAAGAGTACTGAACTGTTACGTGATATCTGTCCTCCTATATGGCAGTGAATGCTGGACAATCTCCTCAAAAGATGAAGAAGAGAATTGAAGCAAGAGAAACAAAGAAAAGAGTATTGAACTGAACTGTTATGGCAGTGAATATCAGTCCTCCTATATGGCAAGAGTAACAAAGTGAATGCTGAACTGTTAGGGTGAATCTGTCCTCCTCAAGGATGAAGAAGAGACTTGAAGCAAGAGAAACAAAGAAAAGAGTACTGAACTGTTAAGTGAAATCTGTCCTCCTATATGGCAGTGAATGTTGGACAATCTCCCAAAGGTGAAGAATACGGAATTTTAGAGAAAATAGACACAAAAAGGAAACGTATATTAACATCAGGAAGAGACAGTTGAAATTTCTGGGGCATATAATGAAGAAGCAAGACTTGGAAAATCTGATACTCACTCTCCTGTGAGTATCAAATTTTCCAAGTTTTCCTTCCAGAGAGAAGGATGGGCAGAGGGAAACAATGCATAACATACTTGACAAGATCGAGAAAATGGATGACGCAATAGGATTAAGGAGAATTACAAAGAGCAGGAAATTGTGGAGAGCCATGATCAGTTACGTCCTCTAGTGCACATGAAAGAGAACGAGACAGACTTTTAACAAACATTTTGCCAAGCTTTTGAATAATTACTACACAGGTGAGCGATGGAAAATTTCTAAGTGAATGATGGCGCAAAAACGGCTCGAAACACCTACTCTTTTCTGATTAGGCGAAAATTTTAGCCTCTTTATATATGTCTGAGGGCAGTAACCCTCACCTATCTCCACCTTGTACGCCTCTGGTTTATTTAAAAAAAAATACGTTTCATGAAATTCATCGCTATTTACTGCAGGTTTGGTTTGGTTTGTTTTACCAAACCTCGATGTGTGATTTACTCACATCTGATTTTAACAGATATATTTAACAAATTACACAAAAATATCTTGAAATACTAAAGAGTAAATTTATTCAATAAAATCGCTACTGGCTTCAACCACGACCTCCAGATGACTTCGGAATCTTCTGCAACTCTTCTGGACGGTCTCCTTGTTGGGGAAGTTGGTGAATGCTGTCATAATCCTTGCTTTCAGTTCATCTTTGGTGGTACAAGAAGTTTTGTTGGTCCCACACCCAACAGTGCCGCACACATAATAATCAAGGGGGTGCAGTTTGGGGAGTTAGGTGGCCAGATGGAACAGGTGATGTGGTCACAGAAATTGTCTGAAAGCTATAACTAGGTTTTCCTATTTGTGCCTATTTGTGTAGCGTGGTGCAGTGTCCTGCCGCCAAACATAAGGTTTTCCAGCAGCCACCCTCTTGACCCAGAGAAGCACTGCCTCCTCAAGGGACAGGGTGCAGGCCTCCGTGTTGACTCTGAGGTGGGAAGATGAATGGAGGCATTATCACTAGAGATCACTCCAAACACCATGATGTTGCCTGGATATATCATCCAAATCTTTCTGAATCCTCTTCACTGTCCTCCGATTGACACCCAAACACTCTGAGATTTTTTTATTGGAGCTTCCGGTACGAATGCCAAGCAGTACAGTATGCCGTTTCCAATTAAATTCCAAGTGAATTTCAGCCATGGTGCTCTTTTTCCCACAGACGGCGCCAAACTGACCCTACGATACTGGACAGACAACAAAATCAAAAACAACCAACGCGCATGCGCGTAATTAAAAATATGACATGACGACAATTTACCAATCGCACCCTGTATATAAATTCACTCATCATAAAGATTATTATATATTTCCGTGCGCAGGTTGCATAACGGTTTTTGACTTTAATGGAAAATTCCCACCTGGCCTGATGCCTTCAATTAAGGCATGAATCCATCTTTCCCCCACATGGTATGGGTAAAATGAAAGGGTTGATTGGGCTAAATATGTTTGGATAGCGGTCAGTCTAGAAGAAGAAATAATCTGAATTTAAAACCTTGTAGAAAGCAGTCTTGGGTTGAAATATGCCTAAGACAAGGACAACTCTGAATTTATACCGTGGAGAAGGTTGCCTTGGCTGGCGGCTGGAGTAATGGAAGAACCATTTTAAAATTTAAAACTTTATAGAAAGCAGCCATGGGTAGTAGCAAGTCTAGAACAAGGTTTACTGTGTGCTCAAAACCACAGAGAAGAAAATCTTGGCTGGAAGTCAGTCTATACAGCAGGCTGACACCTACCCAAGGTTTCCTTCTACAACTATGAACTCGAAACCGTGAAGAAGGAAACCTTGACTGAGAGGAAGTCTAGAGAAAAGATTACTGTAAATTGAAATCCGTAGAGAAGGAAACCTTGGCTGGATTCCTGTCTAGGAGAAGAACCACTCTGAATTCAAATCCTTACAGAAGGATACCTTAAGTAGGAGCAAATCTAGGACTGCTCTCAATGCGAAACCGTGTACGAGGCAATTTCACTGTGGATCACAAGAATTCGTGTTTATTCATAAATAAAAGTGAAAAAATCTACGCACCATTATGGTCGTCAATGACTTTAGGGAAAATGGCAATTTTTTAAAGAGATTATCCAAATAATTCTTAGTTGCGTTCCTTGCTTTTAACCGTGAACTTCACACCCTTTCATATCATATTACTTCCATGAATATTTCATCATGTAACATAAATTAGTTCAAGAATTTGTACTGGAAGTCTGCAATAGATGAACACTATTTATCCGTTGTCAGCAGCTTTACGAACGTTCAACTCTGTAAAATTAAACTATTTTTATCAATAGAAACTATTTAATTTTCAATGAAAACCACAGAGAACTTATTTTGACATAATTGTTTAAGATATTTTTTCCTCACCGAACCTGCCTTTTTATTATAATGAATTTTTTGTTGTATTCCATTTTTTTTTTCTTTTTTAGTTAAATGAACGTAAGAATGCCTTACTTATAGGAATTTATCTTGGGTAGCGCGACCCACTCTTATGGATAACAATCTTGTGTGACGTACTTTGGTGACTCGATTACGCCATTATAAGTTTAAAATGGCCTAGAGATTATCTAGCAAGATTTGACTACGTCACTAAAATACTTGAAGATAAGGTCTCAGGGTACAGACGCGAAATAAAAACAGGAAGCGGAAGTGGAAAAAATATATTCAAGTTCTGCGGAGTTTGGTAAACGATTTAAGGTTATACTGCTTTTTTTATTTTTTATTTTTACACCCCCAAGCAATACAATAAAGCAAGTAAGACGCAAGAGGTCACTCAGTGTCAAAGAATGCGAGAAAAAATATACTATTAATGATCTGGTTGTTTTTCTTTAATGACAAACCAAGCTCTACGAAAATCTAAATATTTTATACACATTTCTTTTTAAGATTTAGTGATACAAGTCTTATCATATATATATATCATAGCTGGGATTAGACTAGGTGAATTTATGTCTACTTTCCCAAGGGTTAATATAACAAACGCAACGGGAATTTGAACTTGGCTCTCCGAGCCATTATCCATTACATCACCAGAATATTCAATCGTACAGCACGTGGCATTCCCAAGTAGTCACCCAACTAGGTACTGACCAGGCTCGACGTTGCTTAACTTCGGTGATCGTACGGGAACTAGTGTTTTAACGTGATGGGTCAGTAAGCCTATACAATTGAAAAAAAACGACAATAAAAGAACAAGAATTAAGAAGACAGAAGATAAGCATTGACATTGCATTTAAATTTTTGAAGATCAAAGGCAATAAAGCCACTAGGATGCAAGGGGTTACTGAGTGTTAGAGAATATGAGAAAAACTACTATTAAGGAGAGAGGAAAATAAAAGAAAAAGAATTAAGAAGACAGAAGATAACGATTGACATTGCATTTAAATTTTTGAAGATCAAAGTTGACTGAGAAACAAGAGGCCAGAAGGGTTTACAGGGAATGAAAGAGAATGGACAATAAAAGAACAGGTTACAGGAAGACAGAAGATGGCGATTGGCGTTGCATTTATATTTTTGTAGATTGTAGGTGTGAGGCAAAGAAGAAACCGGAAGAGAGTTCCACAGGCGAAAAGTGCGAGAAAAAAACAATTAGAATAGAACATGCAGTTGCATCAAGAAATGCATCAAGAAATGCAATTTATAATTCCCATCGTATCTCGCACGTGCGCATCTGCAGTCGCATCAACACAAACAAACGTAGTCCTGTGAATTACTAAGGGACGGAACGCGTCACAAGAAATTTTTTCTTCATTGTCATATATCTTTCCTCTCTCTCTCTCTCTCTCTCTCTCTATATATATATATATA